GCCGCCGCCGGGCAGAGAAGCCCCGCTCCCCTTTTCAGGTCCCTCGGACCTCCCTTTTTTGCGTCTCCGTCGTTCTTTGCCGGTTGGAAGTTGAGGCTTTGGGAGCCCTGGCTGCTGCAGTCACTTTCCCTGTCAGTGTTCGGTCCCCTCCTTCGCCAGATTAAAAAAAAAGTAAAAGAGAGAGAAAGAACAAGCCGGAGGGAAGTCTTCAAAGTCTTCAAGCGCCAGAGCAGCCCGGGCTGCGGCAGGATGAGGCAGGAGGGGAGCGAGGGGCATCGCCTGCCCGCCTGCCCGGGAAGTTTGGGGAATTTGCTGATGGGGGGATTAGTGGGACTGGAGGGGGGAGCCGGTCATTTACCAATTCTGTATAAAATGGGCAAAAGGTTGACGTGTCCTAGTCACGTGAGCGCATAATTCAAGCTATTATTTTGGCATTTGGAAGGAGGGGGGAAGTGGGGATGGTGATTCCCAGCTTGTCTCTGGTGAGCTGCTCCCAAAATAACGATTTGTAGCACACTAACGCCGCAAATTGCGCTCTTTCCCCCCCCACCCCCACGTAGCCTCCATGCATCCTCCACCCCTCGCCCCTCACAGCGCCCACGCTGGGACGAGCACAGGCTTTTAGCGACTGGAGGACCCAGGGGAGAGGGGTCCTGCGGGACTTGGGGAGGACCCAGCTCTAGCAGGACACTGGGAGTTGTGTGTCCGCCTAGTTGTTTCGTTTTATTTCGTTTGGAGCCAATTCAAAAGCGCTTCCGCTGATTGATCATTAACCTGGTGAGTTATTACTCCGCTAAGCAAAGGTCATGGGGAGAAAAAGGTCTAATCTGTCAAGGAAACCCACCGTTCACTCTGTTTCATTTTGATTTCTTATCCGGACTGGCTTCTGTTTGGGGTTGCAGCAGGTCCTGGACCCTCAGTAACGCCCCCTCGCCCCGGGATATCCTTGGGGGTGGCGGGGGGACCCCCACCTCCTTCCCCTTAGGCAAAAATGGGCGAAGGTGGGCGACGAGCCCTGTGTGAAACACTGCTCCCCGGGAAGAGGCTGGTGGGTGCTCTGCTCCCCCGCACTGCTCACAGGGCAGGAGCCCCTCGTCTGGGCTGCCGAAGTGGAATTGAATTGTCTCTTGAAAAAATTAATGCAAAATAGAGCAAAAACGCAAAGCAAACAAAGAACACCATGGGGAAAAGAACTCGCTTCATCCCTCTTCTGCCTTTACTGCGAGGGAATAAATTGAAAACAAAGAAAAACAAACACCCCCTCCATTGCTGCAGCCGTTATTTATGGCCTCTCCTTTTTGTTTGTTTGTTTCTCTTTTCCCCTCCTCCCTCCTGCATCCACTCCAAATAAATGCTATTTCCCTCTTTTCTCCACCTCCTTTCGTTCGGCCCACTTTTTCCCTCTTCCTCCCAGGGCCTGGCGTGGGAGGAACTTTCCTACACTCGAATTTCGTTTGCTGAGTTCACAGCGCAGAAAGAGTGGGTTTTTTTTCTTTTTTTTTTTTTCCTCTTTACAAATCTCTGTGTGTACTCTACAGAGGGAACTGCAAAGCCCCAGTTAACCGGGGAAGGCTGTGATGTAAGTGGAATATTGCCAACGCTGTATATTAAAGTGTGCACGCATGTAATAATAATACTAATAAAAAATACAGCTATAGGCCGCCGACTAGAGAAGGTCACGAAGCATCCGCTGGTGATTTATGGACTCGAGGATGTTGTCACAAGCAGAGTAAGGGTGTGAGGGGAACATTTTTATTTGAGATTAATAACATCAACATACAGAACGGAAACAGGATTATTAAAGCGACTGAATGTTTCCCAAAACGAAAATATTTTTAAATTAGATTGCTTTTTCTTTCTCCCCTTCTTTCTTTCTTTCAGACTCCTTCTTGCCAAAGTAGTGGTGATAAATCTCTGTGTGGCCTTAAAAATGTTTACGACTTGATACCGTTAATTCTGATACCAAATCACTTGTGTGTGAATGGTGTCTACGCACACCATAAAGCATCTCTCCTTTCTTCCTCCCCTTCGTGGCGATCGTTCGACCAAATTGGAGAAACATGGAAAGATATATTCTGAATCCTTAAGGGTTTTTTAGCCTTTTATGAAAATAGCCTGGTATTTTCCCTACTGTTTTACTGTTGTTGAATTCAGAACTGATTAATTGCATATATCTAATTTCTTAAATGCATTTAATACTGAAATTACCAACTGCCTTTAACTAAAACACTTCACGATTTTTTACATGCAGAATTCACCAACCTATGCAAGAAAACGTCTACATTTCAAGCCAAACCGCTTATTTCAGTTATGAGTCTAATGCCAAATGTGAAAACCCGGAACGGGATAAAATGTTTCCCTCCATGGTGGGTTTCCACGGAGGAAGCTGGAGGGAAATGTTTGAGAGACAGACGAATGTATCAGGTTTACAGAAACAAATCTTGTCTCCACCATTTCTGATGACAGTTCTGGTTAGAAATGTGTAGAGGATGCTGCAATGCCTGGAAAATGCTGTAGTTACTTGGATGAGAAATAATCTCAGAGGAAATACTGGGGCTTTTGTTCATTAGAGCCCTATTCTCCCTATTCCCACCCAAAGATTTCTCCGTATGATGAACTCCCTTGTCCACGCTTTTCTGACTAAGTTTCATAATTTTGTTTTCCAGTTCTTTTCCTTTCTCAAACTCCCCCGCTGCCTCCTATTTACTGGACCAGACATCAGAGAATTGGTGAGTTTTGCTGAATATTCTACATGGTCCCATGTCTCTTTGCATATCCATATCTCTATCTGTATCAGCTTGGAAGCCAATCCTTTTCTAAAGTCACTCAACGTGACTTTTTTTTTCCATCAACCCAACAACGAGCTCGGCTGCCCTGAATTTCAGCTGAGTATTTTCATTTTGCTACTGGCTTGTCTTTAAACTTCGTGATTTATGGCTGTAACTTCGAGGGAATGTTTCAAATGGAAAATATTTCCTGTATTCCCTTTGAAGGGAAATCCAGTCAGATTGCAACATTTGCTGCTGATTTTGTGACCAATGCAAGGGAGTTACATTTTAAAGAAAAATAAGCTGCAACAAAAGCAAAGATGGAAAAATACAGGGAGCCTAGAAACTACTTACAGGAGCTCAACATATAAACGTGCAACGACCTTCTTAATATATATTTTCTCTGCTGCTATTTTAGGTTAAAACGAATTTTTGCACTTTAGAAGAGTTACTTGCAGAATCCGAAGTACTTCTGATATTCAAATAGGTCAGTGGAGATCCGTATTCAGAAACCTATAGAATACTTCACCTACAGAGAAGTCTTTAAAAAAATAGTCCATGACTGTTATTCTTCTTGCCTCCACCGGACTTCTCAACGCCGGGGTTCCAAAATATGAACTATCTTGTAGCAGAAGATTTATGTTCGAGTAGTTCATAAAAAGTCAGATGGGAAAAAAATCATGGTAATGATGTCTCCTGGTCGAAACCCTCCTGTCTGGGGTCTGGACGCTGCGGACAGAACAATAGCTGGGAACACCGTAATCCTTGGGTTAAGACTTTATCCATCACCTTTGCTGTCCAACTCTAAGTCCTCTCAAAAGGCAAACGTTTACTTGGACATCCTTCTCTTTCTTTGCAGAGTTACTAGCCTAAAGGTGCAAAAAAAGGGCGATGCAGACAGCCCGACGGGGCATACCTTCCCAGAGAAGTCCAAAGAGCCTTTGTGGTCACTCCTTTTCTTGCTTTGCTAAAAGCAAATTCCCCCCCGTCAGCACTTAACCCAAAGGAGTGAGCGCCAGAATTAAAGGAGGGAAGATAATTGCAATGTGAGACAAAAGTAGCACTTAAAAAAAAAAAGTGCAGACACCTAAATTCTTTGCCCTGCCTTCCTCCCACTCGCCAGCCCCTCCTCGTCACGGACTTTCCCTAAAACGCATCTTGGCGAGTTTCTGTTTTCAGCAGACGCGTGAGAGCGGGGAAAGGCATAAATCTCCCGTGGCGACAGCAGCAGCGCCTCGTGTAGCAATAACTTTGTTCTTAATAATAGCTATAATAATCGTCTTTATTGTTCAACACCTCCCTGCCTTTCCCTCCCCCCAGGTGATTTCCCTCGCTCCAAACCCCACATCTACTTCCCTGCGGAGGGCGAGCGGAGCCACCGGACAGGGACTTGGGCGCACAAACTTAACGCTAAAGTTATCCCGGCTCCAGGGCTCTGGAGCTGCATCCACCCGGCGGAGCCCAGCTTTTGTGTCCCCTCTGCCTCCCCCGGCTCCTCTCCCCCCCCCATCCCCAGCCGAGGGGACGGAGCAGGAAAAGCATCAGCTATTGAAAGAGCCGCGATTGCAACTGCTAAAGGGGTGGGGGGGGGGCTATGACTATTTTGAAACGGGTTATTAGCATAAATTGACACCTAATTGTTAAACACGTGAATCAAAGGAAAGCTTTGCTATCTTTCTGCTTAGGCCTCTGTCCACCACGTCTGCAATTAGCATAATTTTTCACTAGTGACGCTGTTTGGAAGGCTCGTTGGCTTTGCCCAGCAATCCAAACCAAATCTTTATTTTTAAATATCCCCTCCGCTTTATTTCACCACTCGCACACCCCCTGTAGCCTGGATTCTTTTCGTTATTATTTTAATCCCAGCCAAGCATTGCATAGTTAAAAGGGGGGGGGTTGTGTTCAGCTTTTCTTTCTTTCTTTTTTTTTCCCTTCTCCTTTCCCTTCTTCCCCTTTGCTGTGGTAAAGCAGAGGCCATTGTTATCAGTGAGCAGAGCGTACCAGTCTATAGGGCAACTAGAATCTCAGGGTTTGTCCATTCAAAGCCCTCAGCTTTTCTACACATCTTGGAAGCTGGAAAGCATCTTGATTTTTTTTCTTCCCAAACGGAGACAGAGAGACAATTTGAGCTGCCGTAACCGAAAGCTCCACTGGCTGAGCCCCCTCCCCCCTTGTTTTGGCTTTTTTTTTATACATATATACATACATATGCTGGATTTTTTCCTCTCTCTTGTATATTCCTTTAACATTTTTAAAGGAAGGGGGTCATTCCGTGCTTATTGATTGCGTGGATGCTGGATGTGAAAATATATTATGTCTGCCTGTGCTTTGCTCGTCAGAGACTAAGGTAAGCCGGACTCAAATAGGCTATCACTTTGTGAATGGCGGAGTATATGTCCCAATGATTTATGACCATATGACTCCAATCTCGGTTCAAGAAGAGTTCACAAGCTTTAAGCTTCCTTCCACGCAGAGACTCTTTTGCAGCCCTCATCCAGGGCCCTTTTTTTCCCCCTGCTTTACAACTGGGGAGTTCTGGTTGGGGTGAAGCTCGGCTGTGGGGGAGGGAAGAGGGAAATTTTAGGAATGTGTCTCTATTTTCCAGGCATATTCACCGTAAGGCAGTCGCTGGGATTTGAGGTCCTTCTGAGCAGCCGACCTATTGTTAAGGGCATGTTTAGAATATTTATTATTAATAATAATTTAAATTAAAACCGGTGCAATTCCTGTTTTCGCTTGATCTGGGAAATATACCTTAGGCGGGGGCGGGGGGAGGGGGAAACGCGCTGCTCTTCTTCATAAACAGAGTCAGGTTGTGAATTTAGGCTTTCCAACATGGAGGGAATGGCTTTACTGAAGAATACCTTTTCCTTAGCTTTCTTTTATCTTTTTCCCCCAACTAGCTATTTTTTTCTCAAGCATCCTTCTTCCTGCAGCCCTTTCCCTCTCCCACTTCTACATTTCCTCGATTTGTTTTTTTTAATGTATCTAAATCTTCGCACTCAAAAGTTTGAGGCAAAGAGTTGTGGTTAAATGTACCGCTCACGAAGTGAAACTTGGAGCGTGATGAAACACCCAGCGCGGATCCTGCCTGGGTTTAATTGGAACAGGAGATAATCGAATATTTATTATTCTGCCTAGGATTTTTTTTTAAACAATTCCTTGGAGTAAATAATTAGGATTGCGGCCGTCCTCGGCGAAGATAAATGACCGGCATTTGTGACGCGCTGCGAGCCGAGGTACAAAGCAAATCTTCTGTGGAAGCCACAAGCGAGCGAGCTTTTGAGCGAAGGGGATTGTAAATTTATTTTATGGACGTAAAAAAAAAATCGCTGTTATTTTTAGCCGCTTTCGCCGAGCCTCTCCGCTCTGTTCTGGTTTTGTTTTGTTTTGTTTTTTAAGAAACCTATGCCAGACAGGAAGGCCTTGGAGAAATTCCCACCTCTGCCCTCGTAGACATTTTCAGCAAACCTATTCATAATAAAGGCACTGCTGTTTGTTAATTAATTCACAGCTTCTCAGCTAGGGTAGTGGAGTATACTTTTTAATAAGACGTATTTATCATGGCGAGGAAACCAAATGAGAGTAACTCTCAGCAAGGATACCATCCTCTTTGTAGAGAATAATACATCTCCGCGGAAGATACAGTACGGATTTGGGAATGCATAAAGGATTTAATCAGTGTAAAAAAATCGAAATAGTCCCTACGTGGACACGTTGTCTGAGGCTGCTTTAGAAGTATGTGGAGGATTGCTATGACATGACATAAGAACACATCAGCCAAGGAAGGGAAAAAAAGATGTTGTTTATTGTTAAGCTGTGGCTTCTGTTAAATCCCAGTACTCAGAAATATCGCATTAGACTTTATCTCCACAGAGCTCATCTTTTCCTTTTTTTTTTTTTTTGGTATAGAAGAGTCCGGATAAAATTAAATATACAATGGATATCAATTTCAAAAAAAACAAACAAACACAGAAGCTCCTCGCAAAGTCTGAGCTGCAGTGAGAAGTTGCTGCCTATTAAACATGTTTGCTGCTTGACTGATCCTCACACAACAAATTATTTTCCGATCAAAATAGTTTCCATATTTCTAAGAGTGTTTCTACTCTGTCTTCATTGTAGAGAAAGTTTATGTGTTGAGAAAAGAAAAAGGAAAGGAAACAAAGAAAGAAAGAGAAAAAAGAAAGGAAAAAGGGAAAAAAGAAAATAGCAAGGTTTCATTTTGTAATTCGATGTTTGGGTTTAGGTTTTTACTTTATGGGCTTAGATTGAGAGAGGGGGAAATGATGAAAAATCAAAGGGGTAGAAAGTTAGGAGCAAATGGCCTGGTGACGTATTTGTTTTCCAAGGAAAAAACAACAGCAATTAAACTGGTCTGGAATCACATCTTGCCAATTGTAGTTCCAGATTCAAGACCTATGAGTACACAACAGGGCAGGCAATGAAAGGATTTGTTTTCTAAATACAACCTGTGCTACTCGAGAGAGAGAGAGAGAGAGAGAGAGACACTAATAAACAGGCCAAAGGAAGCACATTCTTGAATTCATGCCCCTGCTTAAATCTGCTTAAAATATTTGCACCAAATTCCAGAGACTTTGTGAGTCACTGTGTAAACAGCAAATGAAGCCAACTGTGTCAAGGCACTGTTACCTGGATAAAACATATCGACTATTTGCTGTTCACAGTTCAAAAACAAATATTTCAGACAGCAGCCCTGCAAAAAACTTAGCACCCTTTTACTCTCTAAGTCTTCTCGTTTTTAACTAGGTAACATCCTGCTTGCTTTTATATATGGGAAGCACAGATTTGAATAGGTCATGGATAAGAAGGCATGAGTTTCTTTCCTTTCATTTTTGCAGCTAGCTACTACCCATTCAGTATTCCTACATTTACATTAACATTAATGTGTGCGTTAACTGTACATGGACATGTATATGTGCATGCAACACACACATTTCCCTATATGTACACATACAGATATATATATGGGTGTATGTGTGTATGCATGAGTGTGTGTATATATGCATTTAAATGAATATAGATGTAAAGAGATGTTTATAGATGAAACTATGTGTACTTATAGAGCATATATGTAGTTATATATCCTTGGTGCTACGCTCTAAGGGGAAAAATAAGATACAAACAAACAACTAGGAAAGCAACTCCTCAAAATCAACTCAACACTCCTGCACTGAAACATTTGATGAGCCTTCCTAGGCTGCACACAGGACAAAATCTGCTCAAAGCATCTGTTCGCCCTGTTCTGCAGGACCCTATTCATGTCATGTGCTTTTCAGGGCCCAAGATGGATTCATAGGCCGGGTACTATTATTGTGTGTTTTCTCCTAACCTTTCAGGTCAACTTCCAATAGACAGCTGGAAACGGCCTGTCACGTGGCCTTGGGGTGCCAATGTTCTGCCATAGGGGTGTCAAGACCCTGGTAGCCGGAAAAAACATTTTGGGGAGTCCCAGAGATGCAGAAGACAACATACTACGACAGCTCCACACTCTTTGGTGGCTACTCCTACGGGAGTGCCAATGGGTTCGGCTACGACGGCCCGCAGCAGCCCTTCCAGCCTACCTCTCATGTGGAGAGCGACTACCAGAGGTCTGCCTGCTCCCTCCAGTCTCTTGGCAACACAACCCCTCACGCAAAAAGTAAAGACCTGAATGGGAGCTGCATGCGTCCGAGTTTGCCCCAAGAGCACCATCCGCCTCCACCTGTCTCACCACCCCCAAACCCTGCCACCAACAGCACCAGTAGCAACAGCAATAACCAGTCAGGGAGCAGTAAAACTGCCCCCAGCAAAGCCAACCTCAGTGCAAATGCCAGTCTCACCAAGCAGATTTTCCCCTGGATGAAAGAATCGAGGCAAAACTCCAAACAGAAAAACAGCTCCCCTAGCACAGGTATAATGTTCTACTTTTGTAATCATCCATTTTCCTAAATGGCAAGGTAATGAAGTCACTAACTAGAGTGATCTGGTCTGGAGGGTGGAGAGGTGTGTGTGGGGGGGTGCAAAGTGGACCCTGTGGCCATGCAAGGAGCTGGGACTGCCAGCTGCCAGCCGGGCAGCCCTCCTGCACGCACCCACTGGGCTGAGCAGGCTGTGGCCCATCCTGAGGCACCGGCTGCACACACTGGGGTTATTTTAGACGTATCCAGGGCACCACAGGGAAATGCAACCAGTCAGCTGTGTGCAGCTGACGTCTCACTGCGTGTAGATACAGACACGCAAACCTATACACCCACTGGATCAACCTAGCAATGCTAAAGCAAAGTAATGGTTCTCTTCCTACCTCCCTGCCTACAGACACAGTGGCAACCATGGTACTATCTGAGTGTGTGTGTGTGTGTGTGTGTGTGTGTATGTAACTTATGTATGAATACATGTATATTTTTACATGTATCCACACATGCATACACACACACCTCTGTGGCAATTGAGAAAAAAGTACACTGTGGAATTACACTGTTCAGACAGATATATTGATATAAACTTTGCAGCACACACTTCACTATATTAATATTTATCTGTTATAGGCATGTTTATATTAAAAAAGTAGGTATAAATGTAATTCAGTATTTAATAATGTGTGCAAATGTTTGTATTACACAAATACGAACCACACACAAGATGCATGTATATGTGTGTATTCGTACCTAGGCAAACAAAATATCTCCCAACACTGACCCGTGTTACTACTAATTGGCTTTGCAGTGGCTGCCCCCCTGCCAAATATTATTTTCTCAAAATTATCTGCTGAAAATAATCGACTCCTAAATAAATGGCCTGGAATCCTTTTCTACATGACATGATCAAATTTTCATAAACCAGGGGCAGCTTTGGAGAACAGAACTCTTAATAAATGACATGATTATGGAGTGCAGGCTAATGCAAAGGGGGTGAGAGGAAGGGGGGTTGAACTCATGTGCCTGTTCCAGGATTTATTAAGAAACGATGCATTCAATTTCTGCATGTAAGTAATTATCTTTTATTTCATTTTGCGGCCAGCAGAAACCTGCAGTGGCGAGAAAAGCCCTCCAGGCTCCTCAGCCTCCAAGAGAGCCCGCACGGCCTACACCAGTGCTCAGCTGGTGGAGCTGGAGAAGGAATTCCACTTCAACCGCTACCTGTGCAGGCCCCGCCGCGTGGCGATGGCCAACCTGCTGACAAGATCAAGATCTGGTTCCAGAACAGAAGGATGAAGTATAAGAAAGATCAGAAGTCGAAAGGCATGGGGTCTTCCTCTGGGGGGCCTTCCCCTACCGGCAGCCCTCCCCAGCCCATGCAGTCCTCAGCCGGATTTATGAATGCCTTGCACACCATGAGTAGTAACTATGATGCCCCCTCTCCACCTTCTTTCAATAAGCCCCACCAAAATGCCTATGCCATGTCAACTAACTACCAAAACCCCATCAAAGGCTGCCCCTCCCAACAGAAGTACACCAACACGGCCCCTGAGTACGACCCCCATGTGTTACAAGGGAACGGGGTGGCCTATGGGACTCCCAGCATGCAGGGAAGCCCCGTCTATGTTGGAGGTAACTATGTGGATTCTATGCCCGCCTCTGGCCCGTCCCTTTATGGCCTCAATCACCTGCCACATCACCAGGCTGCCAACATGGACTACAACGGGCCTCCGCAGATGCCCCCGAGCCAGCACCATGGACCATGTGAGACCCACCCTACCTACACAGACCTTTCCACGCACCACGCTTCTTCTCAGGGCAGAATCCAAGAGGCGCCCAAGCTGACCCACCTGTGAGAGAGCACAGGGATAGCCTCAAGCAAACTGGATGGGAGCCCGCCACAGGGCATGGGAGAGGGGAAGAGGGCAGGACTGGCTTCAGAAACATTTGTGTTGATATCTCTTCTTTCTTTTTTTGATGGGGTGATTTCTTCCATGATATTGTTATCACTGATATTGTTTCTTGTTTTTATTAGGCACAATTTCCAAGGATTTCAGTATTTGCTTCCAAAAGCAGCTCTCTCTGAAGAGATGTACCTTCTGTGTTTCAACACAAATGCTTCTGAAGTAGGTTTGAGGTAGTTTTATGGGAATCTATCAGGTTTTAGCATCAGCATCCTGCATTTCCAAACCAAGTACAGATCATTCCTAATAATTCTCGGACACTGAGGAGGAGAATAGTCAGCCAATCAAGTCTTCACAGTTGGTGTCTCTGCATCTACATAAACATACATATGTATACACATGCAATCAAAAGAGATTCACAAGACAACTACCTTCCTCTCTAATTCCTTCTCAAGAAGAACCTTGCGCTTTCCCTTCCAGCCTTCAGATGAAAGGCATCCTTTTTTGCTAAGTAACTTCCCACCACTCCCCACCATAAACTGGAAATATACACACCTGCCAATGTGTGGGAATCATGCTCTTCCTCTCCAGCCCCTTCCTCCCTTCTCAAAAGCAAAAAAATAAAAAATAAAAGGGACTTAAGAATTGCAAAAAGTTTGGGAAACAAGCTTCTGAAACACCTATAAAGCCCCCAAACAAAATAACAACAGTCCAAAGAGAGGAAGAAAGAGTTAACAGGTCTAGAATATTTTTCCACCTTTGCCTCTGATGACATGAAGTCTTCATTTGATGATGCCATTTTTTTTGTTTGTTTTGGGGGTATGTTTCTTAGGCTTCATTAACAGAAAAGCAATCTTAAGACTTAGAAGTCCTACACTTCTTTCCTCCTCTTCTCTTGACCTTACGTGAAAACAGGGTATATTTGAACAAATGGAATGTCCTCCAATCGAAGCAGAAGTGAATGGATCCTTAGTATTTGCTAATGCTTTCTTGTCTGGACATCTTTGTTGCACTTAGAGTTTACATATAATGGGTATAAAAACAACTTTGAAGGGCGTTTGTTCAACTCAGTCAAGACGTTCTTCAATAGGTGTGTGTTCTGGTGAACATTCATATATATTTATTGGTTATAGCCAGTTTAAAATATTTTCCTTTTTTTGTATTATTTATCCCCAATATTATGTATTTATATGAGGAAAAAAGATACAAATTGTACTTTTTTAGTATTTACTTGTTACAAAGGACATTGTGTTTCCTTGTTATTGTACAACAAGCTTATTTTAGTTATTGTAATTTAGAAAGACCAGTAGTTTTATGTTACCTTTGTACTTATGAATAATGTAATTAGTTCTACTGGAGGCATGAGAGCAGAACCAGACTGTAATTGTATAGTCCTGAATTAGAAGAACTATAGCGAATCCCCCCCTCCCACCTCACCCCTCCTCTTTGGAGATCTTTCTTTGTTCTTATAGTAGTTATTTTATTTCCTTGCTTAAGGGTTGTCTGTTGAACAATTCTTAAATAAACTTTCTGTTATCAATTTAACCTTGTCCTATCAGTCGGATTTAAAAGCGAAAAAAAAGCGTAAGTAAAAAAATTAAAGAGAGAGAGAGAGAGAGAAAGAGAAAACAGGCAAGGCACAACTCTAAATTTTCCACAGTCAAGACGCAAGGGTGAATGTCTGCATCCCCTTCCAGGCACTAAC